AAAAAAAAAAAAAAAAGAGTCTAGAGCTTCACTCTCCAATATGATAGTCACTGGCCACATGTCTCTTTAAATTTAAGTTTAATTGAAGTTAAATAAAATATAAAATTCAGTCCATCAGCTGTGCTAGCCACAATTCAAGTGTTCAATTGGACAGTGCGGATATAGAACTTTTCTATCATCACATTACTAGACAGTGTTGGTCTGGAGACTTAATAGTTCATTTATTATAATGCATGAAATTTAAACATTTTTTAATTTTAAAGTCAAAACAAAGGGAATTACTTGTTTTTAAGCTATTGGATAGTGTTACAATAATATTTTGAAATGAATTGTGTTGAATTTTGCTACAGTAGTCGTTTTGTGTTTGTACCTGGTCCAGAGGATCCTGGATTTGGTTCCATCTTACCAAGGTAAGTTTTGTTCAAATTTTTGCAACAGTGTAGAAAATGTTGTAAAATTTAAAAAGATAAACTATATCACATAAATTGTTTTTATAGGCCACCACTTGCTGAAAGCATCACTAATGAATTCAGACAAAGGGTACCATTTTCAGTTTTTACTACTAATCCTTGCAGGTAAGAATTAGTATTTTGTGTTACACATTTTTCCTTTCATTTAAAAAATAATTCAGCCAGCTGCGGTGGCTCATACCTGTAATCTCAGCACTTTGGGAGGCCGAGGCAGGCAGGCTGCTTGAGCTCAGGAGTTCCAAGACCAGCTTGGGCAACACAGTGAAACCCATCTCTACAAAAAATACAAAAATTAGCTGGGCGTGGTGGCACACGCCTGTGGTTCTACTCAAGAGGCTGAGATGGGAGAATCGCTTGAGCTTGGTCGGTGGAGAGGTTGCAGTGAGCTGAGAGTGCACTACTGCATTCCAGCCTGCAGCCTAGGCGACAGAGTGAGACCCTGTCTCAAACAAAAAAAAAGCAGCAAAAAAAAACTAACTTGATTCCTAAAGTGTGTCTCTGAATTCCAACAGTTATGGAATAAATACAAGAAGAAAATTTATTTTTGTTTTAGGTTTCTCAAAACTTTGAAAATAGTTTAACTATATTTAAATAATTTATTGGTAGTGAATTCAGACTCTTGAATAATGGATAGCGATTTAAAAATAGATACTATTATTATACATCCTTTAAGAAAGGTTACAAAGGAAGAATACAAAGATTACTTATTTACTGTTGGTATTGCTCATTGTAATCATAAATTCTTCCTATGGGAATACTGTCAGAGTCAGCCTTGGTTCGCCTCTCTTTTCTGCCTACATTCACTTCTTTGCTGGCCTTCTCCAATGTCCTCTGGCTTTAAGTATCATCTGTGTATTGACACCTCCCACATTTATATTTCCACCTCAACCTACCTTCCAAACTCCAGACTCAGGTATCCAGTTGCCTACTTATCACCATCCCAACCTAAGTGAACTCCTGATCTTCCTCCCCACCAGCGCCCCTAACCTCTTCTGTAGACTTCTCCATCTTAGTTCGTGGCACCTTCATGGCCTGAATAACAATTATTCCAGTTGTTCAGGCCAAACACTTTAGGGTTTCTCTCACATATGTTTTTTTCAGGAAATCCTATTAACTTCAAATTATATCCAGAATCTGCCACCTGTCTATACCTCCACCTCCACAACCCTCTACCACAGTGGTACCCAACCTTTTTGGCACCAGGGACTGGTTTTACAGGAGACAGTTTTTCCAGAGACCCCAGGGGGGTGGGGGTGATTTTGGGATGATTCAAGCGTATTACACTTATTGTGTACTTTATTTCTATTATTATTACATTGTAATATATAATAAAACAATTATACAACTTACTATAATATAGAATCAGTGGGAGCCCTGAGCCTGTTTTCCTGAAATTAGATGGTCCCATCTGGGGATGATGAGACAGTGAGAGATCATCAGGCATTAGATTCTTATAAGGAGTGTGCAGCCCAGATCACTCACATGTGCAGTTCACAACCGGATTCGTGCTCCTGTGAGAATCGAATGCCCCTACCGATCTGACAGGAGGCAGAGGTCAGGATGTAATGCAACTGATGGGGAGCGGCTGTAGATACAGATGAAGCTTTGCTTGCTTGCAGCCTGCCGCTCACCTCCTGCTGTGTGGTCCAGTTCCTAACAGACCATGGACTGCTACCAGTCCGTGGCCTGGGGGTTGAGGAGCCCCGCTCTGCCATCTGGTTGGCCTGGATTATTACAATAGCCTCCTAATTGGTCTCTAGCTTCTACCCCTTCCCCTCCATATTCTACTCTTAATGCAGTGTGAAAGTGATCCTGTAAAGCATAAGACATATCCAGTCCATCTTCCTGATCCTGGAAAAAGGGCCCCCTCATGTGATTTAGTGACAGCCGTATCCTTGCAGTGGGAATCAAGGCCCTGTGTGATCTGGCCCCGTTCTCTCTCTGATTTCCTCTCCTCCCCATTTACTCCAGCCACCCTAGCTTCCCTTCTGTTCCTCAAGGGTGCCAGGCAAGCTCCAGTCTGAGGACCTGTGCTACATCTTCCCTTTGCCTGCAGTGCGCTTCCTCTAGATATCTGCTTGACTAAGTCCCTCTTCCGCTTCAAGCCTGTGCTCAAGTCACACTAAATTATGAGCCCTGCCTGTTCTGATCATCCTATTAATATGCCAGCCTTCTAGGCTCTCTCTTCCTACATATGTTATCCCTCTTAGCCTGTCTTTTTCTTTTTCTCATACACTTAATTATCTTAAAACATACTATATAATTATGTTTGCTTTTTATTTTCTTAGCCCCACTCTTCACTAGAATGTAAACTGTATGAGGACTGGGATCTCTTGGTTCTGTTCGCTAATCCCTAGAATGGGGTAGGCATATATTAAGAGCTCAATACATAGCTGTTAAATGAATGGATGAATAGACAGACTCTGGTTGAAGTTTTGTATGGTGAACAGTTGATGTGGGAATGGGCTTGTATTCTAAGAGATTTTACCTTTAAAATTAATCTCATTTTTTTCTGAGAAGTCAAATTCAACTACTGTTTTCATTTCAGAATTCAGTACTGTACACAGGAAATTATTGTCTTCCGTGAAGACTTGGTAAATAAAATGTGCAGAAACTGCGTCCGTTTTCCTAGTAGCAATTTGGCTATTCCTAATCATGTAAGTGAAACATCTTTTTTATTAAACTGTCTTACATGTTGCATTATATAAAATTTTATTAAGCCACTTAATAATTTGTCCTTGGGTTAGGACATTTATTTATGGTTCAAAATAGTTTGAACATACTTTTGTCAGTAAGTTAATTTTTGTTAGTGAAGTCAGTGTTTCACAGCTTTCTACCAAAGTGTATACCCTAAAGGACAGAGAAAAGCTGAGAATAAGCAGAAAATTTCTTTCAAGCTTTGTGTTTTGTCTTTTAAACTCTTAAATCATACTTTAAAATATATGTATATTTGTTTTAATAAACTGTTCTTATTTATCCCATTGGTACATATTTTATATAGTATGTCCATATCACAAGAATGTACAGTATTTATCTTGTAGCTTCAAGGTTCCCTCACATACAGTTATGAATCCCAGATTACATATACCCCCATTTGAGAAGTATGGAAATAGATGTTACAGAGCATTTGTGTTATTCATTTTATAATATTTAAAGTTTATGGACCAGGCGCAGTGGCTTATGCCTGTAATCCCAGCACTTTGGGAGGCTTGTTTGAGGCCAGGAGTTTGAGACCAGCCTGGGCAGCATAATGACGTATATATATGTTATTAAATGAAAACTCATAGATTTTTTTTTTCCCTAAAATACAGAATAGTTCATTTCGTTTTTAAATTAGTGTCTCCCAAAGCTCTGTGAGTCAAAGCTTTCCTAGTTGTTTCTCAAATTTTCTGGTTCCTTTTGGTTTAATTTGAAATTATTTGTTTAGCTATTTTCACTTTTGCAAATGAATTGAAGTTTGTTTTGTTTTGTGCTCTTTTGTAGTTTGTAAAGACTATCTTATCCCAAGGACATCTGACTCCCCTACCTCTTTATGTCTGCCCAGTGTATTGGGCATATGACTATGCTTTGAGAGTGTATCCTGTGCCCGATCTACTTGTCATTGCAGACAAATACGATCCCTTCACTATCACGAATACTGAATGCCTCTGCATAAACCCTGTAAGAATGTAGTTAATCTTATATAGTCATTATTTGTCAAGATTAGAGTACATTTTTTAATTTAAAATATATATTTAATAAAATTATTGTTGAAGTAAAAATATGCTATTAATGAAACACTGAATTAAGTTTCTATACACAGAAAGTTGGTATACACAGAAAGTTCTTAAATTTTCAGTATAGTATGTGACTATAAAGTAATGTGACTTTTTTTAAAAAAAAAAAAAA